TTACTCCTAAGCCTCCGGCAACGATTGAGTGGGAGTAACGTTCTAGCAGCTTCAACGCCCTTGTTTATTAGGGGCTTTTTTGTGCTGCGTTATTGTCGTGGTGCCGATATGGTACCGACCTGCGCTTTATCTGTTGTGTCTTTTCTGTGAGTTGTTTTCCACGCTTTCCATAGCCGGAGGGTTTCTGAATTTAACCCGTAGGCTGTGGGAAGGGTGGGAAACGGTTTTGTCTTGTAGCGTCATGTACTCTGGAAAGTACTAGGTATAATTGGTGTCGTAATGAAAGTTATCTTTAGAGGAGAGTAAAATGGATAAAGAGACAATTGATGCTAGAAATAAGGAGTTTATGCAGAAAAAACGTCGCGTGTATCTTTGTGCGAGGGAGTGCATGCCTTTAATGGCAATTGGCAGGGAGATTTTGATCAATGAGGGTATTAGCTCACATCCTAATGCCTTTGAAGTTTTAGAGATTTCCATGCAGAGACTGGGCTCTTTGCAGGATAAGCGTGTGATGCTTGAAAATCAGTGTATAGATTTTTCGAAGTTGTATACTCTTCCTGCATCTCGTTTCGGGGTGCCCGATCATTTTTGTGTTGCGGGGAGTCGGTATTCTCTTACTGTTGACGCCCCTGAAATGTTTTTCCAAAAATTGGCACTCTTAGTTGCTCAGTTAAATCTGTTTGATTTTCCAGAGGTAAAAACTATTTATGCGAATTTAGCTGTACGTCTCCTCTTGCGATTTTTGGTAGCTGACAAAAATAAGTTCTGCCCCTTTCGGAAGTGTTCGCAGGAGTCGGTTTACCGTCTCTACCCCCTCGCTTTCCAATTATTTCAAAAGGAAGAGTGTGACTGAAGTTACGTTCAATAATTAAAAAGGCCTATAGGTGCGTATACGCGGTGTTTTGGATTTTTTGGTTTTATCTGAAGAGATGTGCATAGATGTGCATTTTTCATGGTGTATAGATTTTTTTATTCTATTTTTGTTTTGTTAGGGTATCTTACTGTTGGTTTGATTTGGTCGAGCAACCTTAGGAGGTCGATTTAAATTATGCAATTAAGACAGCAATTTTATCTGGTACTATGTTATTTAACAATGGGGGGTGGTTTCTCATGTTAGGGGGAGAATTTGATGATGTAATTGTCTATGGAACCGGGGTAACAACTCGGGGTCGGGCGTATAAACAGGTTTTTAAAACTTCTAGGGAGTGCCTGTTCACCTTTCCCATTGCAAGCAAAATAGTTGCCGAGAGGCTCGGGATTTTGGACCCAACACCCTTTTGTGTCCTGGAATACGCTCTAGAGCATCTCGTTCGTGTTCACAACCTCTACATTTCTCAATATCAAAATTGCATCCATTTCCAAAAATTAGCACTACTACCATCCAGCGCCTTTTTTGACATGTCTGATTTTAACCCGGGTCCTCGTTATGTTCTCGAGATATCTGCTCCTCTACTTTTCTTTAAAAAATTGGGGTTCCTTTCAGATATTCTTCCGAAATGGAGTTTTTTTAGTGTTCAAAAAATCTACAGAAATTTTTTAGTGCGCATTCTTTTGAGGTTCTTAGTTGCAGAATCCCAAGGTTTCCTGCCAACGAAACAAGTAGCACGAGATGTTTTCCGTTTTTATCCTCTCGAAGTCTTCCCGTTGGAAGAAATCCTGGCGACAAGAGAGGAGGTATGTCAAAAAGAGTAGAAGGTGTAGGCAGGTATTGTATATGTTAAGAGATAGGAGAAAAAAATGACAAAACAATTTTATATTGATTCACGAGATTTTAAGTATGCTGCTGTTTCTGCTGGTCAAACCTATGAGTATCAGGGAGATGCTCGTACCGATAAAATTATTGGTTCTTTTGTAGAAGTGTGCGTTACCAATCGAGGGTTTGAAAAAATTCGCGTGAATTTACCCTCGTCTACTCCGCTTCTTGCCGCGGGTGAAGAATTTTCTGAGGGGACCCTCATCGAGTTTGATAACCTCAAGATTCGCCCTTATGTCTCCCGCGCTAATCGTCTCGCTTATACGGCTTCTGCTGATGCTGCCCATGTGGTTGCTCCTAATAAGCGCCCTGGGATGCCTGATCAGAAGTAAGCGGCACCTCTCCCGTCGCTAATTGGTCGGGGCTACGTGTTGGCGCACGTCTGCTGTTGGCGCAGCAGAGACAGTCCCGACTTTTCTTTTTGTTAAGACAGAGACTAAGGAGAAGTACCATGTGTAATGATATCAGTATAAATAATAATTGCCTAATGGATAGGCTTGTGTCTTTCATTATTTCTCATACGGCGCTCAATCGTCACCCGTTTGTTATGCATATGTTCTTTGTGGTGTTTTCGATACTGTTTGGTATTGCTGTGCTCTGCGCGTTCAGTATTGCCTTCAGCTTTGTGACTCCTGTGAGCGCTGAGGAACTTCCTTCTGCCGTGGAGCAGCAGCGGCCGACTGACACGTCCGCGTTCGATTTCGAGGGCGCTCACGCGAACTTCGATTCGATGGTAAGCGAGAGTGATCGCATCTGCGTTTTGGTGTTTGTTAGGAGCGTTCTTATAGTTCCCCCTGAACCTGCTGACCCGGTGGAGCCGACTCCCGAGTATGTCTCAATGCTCCCGCAGACGGGTGATGCTTTTTCTCTTGCTGCCGCTAGTGTTGACGATTCTCGTATCGCCTTGTCCAATCTCAGTACTTTCCTGGCCAAGAGGAGGGGTTAGTATGGTTACGATTTTTGGACTTGTCAGGAATGTTGCGAACGCTGTGAATTACATCGTTACCGTAATTCGGGAACGGGGTAACAACCCCATTAATGTTAATGGTGGGTACGTACGGGGCAGGACGCGCATTCGTAGCTATGTTCTTTTTGGCGCGTGTTTGTTCTCAGTCTTTTTTGCGGTTGCTTCTGCTGATATGACAAAGAATGTTGTTTATTATGGTCTTTTCACGCTACTTCCCTCGCGGGTGCTTTGTACGCTTGTTTCCGTTGTGGTTTCTTTCGTTGTGCTTGCGGTGTGGGGCTTTTTTGTCTGGTGGCTTCTGTTTAAAAGTGGGCTTCGCTCCAAGAAGCTGCATCCAAATAAAATGCTTGCCGCGCTCCTTGCTGACTATATCCGTGACAATGGGTTGTGTCAGTTTAAGAGCAGCGGAGCGAACGCTTCTGAGGTACTTGTTTCTTCAGCCATTATGCGCGGGGAGTATACGTCTGATGGTTTCATAGTTGTAGATTTTTTCAAGCGGGGCGATGTCTATACTGAGAAGGCTTCGCGGCAGGCTGAGGGGCTTTCCGCGCTTCTGTCATGCCCGCTTGATTCGATGGAGGACAGTTTCGACCGGTGCCGCTATCGATTCTGTGCTGTGCCAGATACTCGCCTGTGCGCTGTTTCCATGCTTACGGAATCTGATTGGAGTGGACAGCGGGACAGGATACAGTTAGCTGGTTCGCTTTGGTGGCATTTCGGAAAGCTTCCCCATGCCCTTATTGCGGGTGGTACGGGTGGCGGCAAATCAACGTTTCTGTATTACCTTCTCGGTGAGTTCCTGCGCCTTGGTGATGCTACGGGTGGTGCCGCTGATGTGTTTATCTGTGATCCCAAGAATGCCGAGTTAGCTTCGCTCTCTCGTGTGTTCAGCCCCGATCATGTGGGTACTACGCCTGGGCAGATTGCTAAGGTGGTGCGGCATTGCCGCGAGGTCATGGACGAGCGTTATAGGTACATAAATGATTCCGAGCGTTTCCGCTTTGGTGCGTCCGCGTTCGACTACGGACTGAATCCTGTATTTTTGGTGTTCGATGAGGTAGCAGCTTTTCGTGCTGAAGCGGACAAAAAGACCTTTACGGAGGTGTGGGATAACCTTACGCAACTCGTCTTGAAGGCTCGTGCGGTTAACGTGTTTGTCATTTTAGCGTTGCAACAGCCCCGAGCCGAGGTTGTAAGTACTGACATACGTGACAATTTGGGTCTGCGCGTGTCGTTGGGCGATTTGTCTGAGGAAGGCTACCGTATGGTGTATGGCTCTGATGTAACTGGTTATCGTTTCAATCATGTGACTGAGAAGGGTACGGGTTACATTCAGCTTGACGGCTGGAACGCTCCCAAGTCTTTCGTTGCCCCGTTCGCGGATTATTCTACTATCGACTATCCAGCGCGGCTTGCTGAGCTCTACAAGGCCGCACAAGACCGTAACAAGCTTTCTTCGGTATCTGATACCGGGGAGGGCGTAAAAGATGCTCCTGGATATATCACAGAGGTGCAGGAACAGCAATAGCGCCGACCCGTAGCCGC